GAGAGAGAGAGAGAGAGAGAGAGAGAGAGAGAGAGAGAGAGAGAGAGCAGGGCAACTCAGCTGGAGAGCGGAGATGAAGAGGAGATAATCTGACACACAAACGGCAATGAAAAGGCAGCCACAGTTTTACCTGAAGATAAAGACGCCGCTGAGTTTGTCATCCATCTTCTCTCTCAGGCACTTAAGAGCCATGTCCTGCAAAGCCTCCCCGCTTGACAGGAGCTGTCATTCATCTTCGAACGTGTCATGATGGATCAAAAGGAGGAGGAAGAGGGAGAAATTCTAGTTGTTGCAGAATTTGAGTGTGGACTTTTGCCATACATGCGTCCTAAATGTAATTTATGAAAAAAGCTATTCAAGTTTGGACTACACAGATGTGGTTTTCAATTTTTGAATTGAGCGATGTTTCAGGGAAGTGACCCCAATCTTTTTTGCACACACACACAGACACACGCACACACACACACACACACACACACAGTCAGCCTAAAGGTAATCTGAAAAGAAAGAGAAAATAGCTGGAGGGTGTCTGCTAGAGAAGGAGTGTAAACATCAGAGAGGAGACAGGAGATGGAGACAGAGATAAAGAGAGAAAGAAATATGGGCAAAAAGTGGAAGACTTTGAAGATGGAGAGATGCAGATAAGGGAAATGGGGACAAAGAAAGAGGGATAGAGAGGAGAGAGCAGAAAGAAAGAAATAAACAGATGGAGCGAGCCTCAAACAGAGGGAAGCTCTGATTGCTGTAATGATTGCATGGAAATTGTTAGATCAGGTTTCCAATTGGACTTCATTCAGCTTCAGTCTCTCTCTCTCTGCAGCCCCCCCACCCTACATGCTGAAGCCCTAACTGCAAATAACCTTCACGCCTCCATCCCTACACCAACAGAGCGCCAGGCGCCTATAAGCAAACAAGGAATCGTAATGGAATACTTAATTATCCTGACAAGGGAACAGAATATTTATCTGGAATTCTTGAATTGTAAAGAGGCGTCTCTTTTCCCCGAGTGTCGGGCCTCGCTCCAAGCCCTCTCCTCGAAGGGGGAGAGCAGCCGCCTTCATCAATGTTGTTATTTGTCATTATACACCCGCTACATTAATAATATTGATAAAGTACCGTGTGCAGCTGCCGTGAGTATTTAAACCAGGCAGTGAGCAGATTTTCATACCATGTTCTTTTTTCCTTTGGGGAAATCACCCTCTCTCTCCCTCACCCCCTCCTCTCTTTGATAACATTCAGGTCGTACTGTTATTGCTCAGCTCCTTCCAAGGCTCTACTGATTTCTTCTTTGTGTGTGCATGTTTTGCCTGTCTTTGCCCCCCCCCCCCCCCCCATCAGTCTATCGATCCAGGCCAGCAGTTCACCTGGGAACATTCCAACCTGGAGGTGAACAAGCCCAAAAATCGCTACGCCAACGTCATCGCCTACGACCACTCCCGCGTCATTCTGGCTCCCATCGAGGGTAAGGCTCACACTCATCCTCACACTCTACACCTCCTCAGAGATAAGCTCAGCTCATTGCAGACCATTTGGGAAATCCTCATAATTACAGAGTCAGTTTGAGTAATTAGGAGTTTATACTGGATAGACCGGATGGGACTAGACTAAGACTAAACTAGAACAGTGCATAGCAGTGCAGAATAAATCACATTAAATACAATTAAGACCTTAAAATAAGAAGAATAAATACACTCGACTCGGCTTAAGAACTGCCTTGAGTCAATGCAGTAATGTGAAGCAAAATAGCATTAAACATGCCTAAAATAGATTGAAATAATTTATTGTATGTGAAGTTCAGATTGAGTTCAGCAGCAACCAGTGAGTGTAAAGAACAAAACAACGTTTGGTGGGAGTCCAAACGGGAGGCTAGTTTCAGCTCAGCTTGGTCCTGAGCAGCTAAGCAGTTCATGGAATCATATTATTGTTGTGGGGTTAGGCAGGGACTTGTATCAGCTCATCTCTGGACCCAGCACCAGGAATTTAACCAGTGCTTTCACCGTCCCATTTGTCTCATCCGATCTTGGCCCGTTCTCATGACTTCCCTCTAACTGCCCACAGACACAGTGCAGAGAATCCCGCAGCGAGAAAAACTCTTCCCCCTGACTCCTAAATCTCAAGGGACATTGTCAGAGGTAGTCACCCTTCACCGCTGACATTGTTCTGCCGTTGCATCACCAGAAGAGATCCAGACTCCTCAGAGTTGTGCCAAACTCCCTGCTCCACAGTACTCTCTCTTTTGTGAGAGCTAACTGCTCCGACTAGATTTTGACATCTCGCAATAGTCAGGCCAATTTGAGGGTGCGACAACATGCATAACAAAATTATCCCAGGGAAGAAAAAAAATGCATCGTCCATAAATACATAAATTAATCAAGTCTGAAATTTCTATTTTACACTGCAGTGATTTTGCCATTAGTCGCAGCAGTAGAACAATTCATGCACGCCACTATTCTCTGTTCACTTAGCTATGACTAAAGCCAGGGCACCACAGTCGGATTGTGCTACGTGGTATCCGTTTTAATGACATTTGCCTTTCTTTCTTTCTTTTTTTCCCTTATCTCCATTCTTTCTTCTCTTTTCTTCTTTGGCTTCCCCTCGTCTCTCTCTCTCTCTCTCTCTCTCTCTCTCTCTCTCTCTCTCTCTCT